TAAGACAGTGTTTAGCAAAAAAAGAAAAGAAAAAGAAATATGGAAACGTTAATTAAACGACTAACAGAAACAGCCCTTTACTATCTTTTTGGACGCAGACAGACGTAGTTTTGACACAAAGAAAAAGGGAAAAAAATTACCTGGGTTTGGAATATTGTTCTTATCTATAACGATATGAGTAGTTCATTTAGCGTTCAAAGTATTTTACTCGTTCTAACGTGCTGACCAAAGTATTGTTCTACCTACTAATTTCTTTTCAATTTAGATGCTTTCTTTTTTTCGTTCTTTTTATCCTCGTACTCCCTTTTGCTATATTTTTTTTTCTTCTGTCTGTACTGGCTTCTCGCGGTAATGAATTTGGAATACTGAATATCATAAATTAAGAATGAGAAAGAAAAAAAAAAGCAAAGACAGCATTACACGACATAAAATTGTTTTCTTTTCTTCTTTCCGACTAACAGCGCACCGCTAATTGCAGAATATAATATGGAAATTCATTGTGGAATTTTACGAAACGAATAAATTTAATTTGAAAAAAAGTTGGTCTTCATGTATTTCTAACCTATAAAATCTAACATGATATCTGTATTTTCGTTCGATCTTAATCTTTCGATAAAATTAAGTAACAACACAGTGAATTAACGGAAAAATGTTATGTATATAAATAGTTTTTATTTAACAACAAAATCAAAATTACAAAAGTTTGATATTATCGCCTTAAAATTTAGCGTAACATGTGCATAGAATTGACAAAAAAACGGGAAGATTATGGATTTCCAGTTTAAGCGAAGAAAAACACTTAATATTTAGATTTTTTACATCTGTTACAAAAATAAGTAAATAATTAATTAGAAAAATATATATTAGGCCTGTCAAGATACGACATATATCGTTAATATTGTTTATCTGGAAATCGAAAAATTTTAACATACTCGAATTATTGTTCATATATACAAAAGAAAAACTTATGGCAGTAATTTTTCTTGTTTAAGAAACAGTTAATTTTGCTTTTGATTTATAAATAAAAAGTTTTACTTTTTTGTACAGGCCTGAAGATTGTACATAGCACTTAACAAGTTTTATACTGTCAACACAGCCTTATGTTTTCTATACGATACTTCAAATATATTTATCGCGTTATACTTTACGTTTTTTTTTTTAGTGAACAAAGGACTAGTCATAATGAGACTAGAAGTAGAATCAAAGACTTTTTTTATTCTGTACTAGAAATAGGAACTCTTTTGACTAATGATTATCTTAGGAAAAAAAACTATTGAAAATTAATATATGTAACCAATTATATTGTTCAGTCTACTTGTAAAATTGTTTAATGTATAGTTGATATGGCCTGTTTTTTTTTAAATTCCTTTTTAAAAAATACATACTGAGCAAAGTGCTTGAATGCACAAAAATTATTCAACGTACGAAAGATGAAAATAATATCTTACTCTGGCACATGATACAAATAATCGGAATTCAATCATCACAATATAGTGATATTATTTCAATTCATTCGATTAATTGATGTTAAATGATTTTTTTTTTAATTTTTGTTGATGGTATCAATTCCAATATAGTTAATACCTTTTTTCAATTTTTGCTTATTCCAGTTTTCTAACAATTTTTTATCTTTTTTTACATTTAAAAATTTTTTTTCATTATCTCGACGAGATACCTTTTTTTCTAATATTTTTTCAAATGTAAATTTAAGTTCTTCGCAGTTTTGAATCGAGAATAAGTACTTTTTTTCCCCTCATATATGTGAATACTTTAAATTCTAAAGAAAATTCCGTGACATGTCATTCTTTTTAGATGCATAGAGTTATGTATTAGGATTTTTTAGATGTATAGTTTTTCTCTTAACGTTGCATTGAGCCAATATTGATCTTTTACTATAAGTAACTGTCAAGAGGAACCGAAATTTGTTTTGCTTAGGTTAACGAGGGGCTACGTATTAAGTAAATTATAGTAGCCGACAATTTTAAGGCACCACATTTTCATGTTTAACAATTTTATGAAAAGAGACTACACATCCAAATTAAATAGAGAAAAAGCCCTGAATTATGACAATGATAGTTTTATACGAAAATAAACGTTGCATTTGTGTGTACAGTAGCCACAATCCTTGCAAATCACGAATATTATTGCACTGGTATGATACGTGTTTCAAAGAAAACTTATTACAACTCGTGTGGCAAAAAGTGGCTTTACATATTTCTTCTAAAAGGAAATAAAACGAAAACGAAACGAGAGAGGGAGAGATGAGACAATGAACTCGATCTTCTAAACGCAACAAAGATGAGCCGTCGCACAAAAAGCGCAGGCCATTATCACAAGATACGAGAGCGTATTATAGCTCAAGGTAAGCGTATGAAAATTACCTCATTGTACTTTTTTTATCCTCATACACAGGTGGTAGAATCAGTCGAATCGCCTCGAATAATTATCGAGAAGAGGCCAATCGCAAAAATAAACCGTTTTCAAATATATAAAATTATACTAGATAATATACGAGTATTTTCTATACTAGCCTGTGACGAACGTGGTTACGTCACGATATACGGTGAATTAGAATCTACCTTGACGAATATTCTGGCTAGGTCATGATGTTCCTTCAAGTTCTGGTATGTACAATCGAATACATGTTTGATCCTTGCGAACACATCCGGATCGTAGACTGATCTAGCAGTGTTGGTTAAATCGAATGGTTCTGTGCATACATAGACACCTGTTAATTATAGAGCATTCATATTTTCTGTGGTTCTTCACTTGCTATATTTACCTTCAATGCATAAATACTTCCACTGATGAGGATCATTTTTATAAGATCGTGCCCTTCGACATTCTTCTATCGGTATTTTGTTAGCCAAACGTACTGATATCGCATACTGATTGAAACTAATTAAACATTATCGACTTAATATAATTTTGTTCATTGAAATAGAGACCGTAATATACCGTCATTTTTTTTTACTCACTCAAACATGACATAGTATCGAAAAAATTCGATAAACAGTTCCCCTAAAGATTGTCGATTCCTAGGCCGATGTACAGTAGATGGAATGTCCAGTTCTTCTTGAATGTCTATGCAATGAATGTCCGTGTGCGGTGCGAATTTGCCCTCGTAAAGGGAATGTAAACAAGGTAAAACCGGTGGATTGACACCACCTACAATAAATAAGTATTGAAGTTGATATATGTGTAGGTTAATGAAATTAAAGAGAAACGTGTATACATACACTGCAAAAAATGAATAACCATAAGAACTAAGGAATAGCTAGATATTGTCATATTCTTGGCATCGTTAATATCCTGAGATTGAGCCCAAAGTTTAACCACGAGTACCAGTGGTCTCACTCTCCAATCAACTGTAAAATTAGTTAATAAAATATATTTTATACTGATAAAATTTTCTTTATTCATTATTACGACCTTACTTCGAGAGTAACAATAAAGAAGATGAGTATTCCGAATACCAACAGCATTGTTACAATTTAAATCGACCTCTAAATTTTGTATCGAATCGTGGAATTTTAGAATTGGTACCTTTGCTTGTATAAGTTCTAATTGTTCTATAAAATCTGTCAATAGAAGAAAGCATTGGTGTGTTTATTCAAAATTTTATGATGAACTATTTAATGTAAAACTAGCATGTAGATTGGCATACCGCATCTCTTGAGGCATTTCAATATTTGTTCTAAATGACCAATAGCTTCATTCCTTTGATCCATTTCTGTATGCCTCACTAAAAGACACATGTCAACATCACTATTATCTGATCCAAAACCATTCATTGTTGAGCCAACCAAAAACAGACCATACTTAGGAAATGCAGTCTAGAAATAAATATTACAATTCAAGTTGACATTCATCTATGCAGTCTTAATAATAGCATTATGTTACCTTGATGTAAACATAAAGATATCTCCAAAGCATCATTTTATTCCTATAAACAGTTTCAGTCTGTTGATTTAGCATGAATTTTAACCAAACATCTTTGGAAAGTTTATCCCAAATTGTTCCATTAAGTAAATCCTCCGGTGTACGTGTTACTTCAACTAAATGTGATCTAGCGAGGAACCGATCTGGGGCAATTCCGTATCTAGGAAATGCGTGATAATTAGGTGACAATAATCCCATGTATCTTTTGTTTCTTTGTAATCTTTGAGGAGGTGGACTGTTCCTTCCTACAAATACAATTTGCTTCTAAATGTAAATGAATAGATGAATTGATTCACTGTATCATCAATATAAACATACCTGAATGATATCTTCTTTTATTTTGGTAAGTTTGTACTTGAGTCCTAGATGTTGACATGGTAGTGGGATAACAATTAACAGGTCTTTGATTTTGATAAAATTGATGTGTGGAAGTATTTGAGATTATACCATATTGCATTATTCTGTTGTTTGTAACATTATTTGGATGTATTTTGTGCGATTTTCTACAACAAAACAGTCTCCTGAGTTTATATATTAAGAAATTTTGTTCTCTACTTAAAGAAACAATACTCACTTCATACTTTGTTCAACCGAAGAAATTACAGAATCTCGTTCATCCGAGCTTTCTGTTTGACTACTGTCAATATGATGTTTATTTGGTGTTGGAGATCGAGAACTGAAGCCACTATCACTGCCATATTTTTCATTGTTTATATAAGAATCTTGAAAAGAATTTCTTTTGCTTAGTTTATTATACCAATTAGATTTTTTGTTTGCTAAACCATTGTTGTTGGGCCTAAAGGCAATATGTGGAGATGGTATAATAGGTGTATTGTTTGATGTATTTACACGTCTCTGCCAATGTTGCGAAGAGGTGCCATTATTTGATTGGATATACTCTATATGCCGTAGAGATGGTACCTCAACTCCCATCAATTGCAATAGCTCCAGTGGATAAGATCCTGTCTGCAAGAATACTGCTTGTACTCAAGACAATTTTTGTCAATAAATAAGTTATACTAATAATTTAAACGTAGAATAATGTACCTGTATCATTTGGTGTCTATTCTGTGAACAAGCATCTGAGCGATACTTTGTATATTCAGTCTGATGGAACGCACTTGCACCATGAATATGCATTGTATGTGTTTGAACTGGTGGACACTGTCCATTTGCCTGTTGGCCACCCATTATCTGCACCATTATTTGTGGTGGATACATAGTGTGATACATAGTCAAAATAAATGTACAAAATGCTACAAAATGTGCTACTTAAATTTAGGAGAACCTCTATACTCTTTAATGGAGCAACTATTATAATATATAATGCATTGAGTATACTGAATGTTATTTACATCAATTTACATTAAATTCAAATTTAAAAATAAAGTTCATTCACAGACAATTCTGCATCTATCATTAATATATTGAAATCTTTTCTCCCTGTTATTATATTTGTTCATTGCATGTATAATAAAAACATTGGCAAATAACAGGATAAAATATAATTCATTAAATATAACTAATCAACATAGAGCAATTGACAATATTTCGACTAAGCATTAAATAAATAACATACAAATTTCATGAGAACTAAATATAAACTATGTATCTTGTTTCAACACATGTGATTCCCTTAATATCAACTAATAATCTCCTTTAAATTATTTATACATAAACTTGTTTCTCTTATTGTAACTCATGTATTGTCATGTAATTCCAACAGTAAATAGTACTTTTGCTCAGGAGTTTGCTGCAGCGTTTAAGTATTGAGTCTTTATATTTCCCAAATTCTTAGCAGTGTACAGATTTATGATTGGCAAAGTGCGTTCCTAAAAACACATCAAGATCTTAAAACGTAACACTAATTCAGCTAATTAACAGCTTTATCATGTGTTGTATATTAGAAGAACATTATATATTGTAGGTTACGTTAAACCAATATTGTAATACTGTATAATTAGAAAATTATTTCTAACACGTAGTACACACGGTACAAAACAATCACGATTATAGATACACACAGAACATTTATCAGTTATATTCAAAATGTATCATGTAAAAAAAAAACTACCTGTCGTGTATAATAACGTCGAGAATAGTGAACAAAAGAGAGTTTGAAAATTATGCAACTTGGTAACTGACGGAGACGATGAAATGACAGAGAGCAAAATGCAATTGTGGAAGAAACTAGTATTACACCCACCATTATTTCAACAACACAGTCAGAAATGATTGTATACCTATTCCGTGTCGCCATATTACGAAGATCTTTGTTTGATCTAATACGATATTTCCCAATGAAAAAGTTCAGCGATCTGATTCCTGGACGTTTTCCGAACTGTTAACCGGAGAATGATGATATTTAAGTGTCTTGATACGATTGTATCTCCCGCCGGAATCCAGTAAATGGTTCGCGATTTTAGATAAAGGCTTATTATTTTCCACGGTAATTACGTCCTAAGGATTTACACGAGACCCTTATCACTTTTAACGCATTCCGACTAATTAAACTTGCCCGTTTAAATTTTCGAATTCTTCGATGTAATAGACGTTTCTCGGCTTGACACTAGGCATTTACACGACACGACGTTAGATGGCGAGACAAAGAGAAAATTCAGACTTACCGAATGAGTCAAGAGAGAGAAGTTGTCTATCGCTTGAATTTTTTGTATTTTATTTAATGTATGAAAGGAAGAACATTGATAAAATTATTTAGGAGCTTAACATACAACATTTTATGTGTTTGTTTTTATCGGTACATCGATGTACAAAACAAATTTTCATACTGTGTTTGATACATGAGTTGGAACTTTATTAAATAATACATACACTGGTCTAATGTATGTTAAAATGCATGCAAAAAGAAATTTCGGATATTCTTTTCACATTTCTACTTTATAATTGTATTATAAAATGGCAGCCATATTGTTACTTCTTATTGTAAATATTTTATTGAGAGAGTAAATGAAGTAAATACCTAGTTTCTGTTTTTCTTCTTTTTTTTATAAGTTTTAATTATATGTGTAAAAATTGTAAATAGTTTTATACTCGTCTTTCATTTTTATTTGCCAATTGTAAGTACTGTAAAAATTTCATGCAAAAAGTGAAAATTTCTTTGTATAAAATCAGAAAATAATAATATTCTTCTATGAAGAATGAAGACCATGAATATTCATGTAGAAGTGCGTATACCCTGCAGTAACATTCTAATCTCATAGCATCTCTGCATCTAGATTCTGTATTGTTACAACACTCTCGTTTACTCTTGTTTAATTTAATTCATAAAATGCTATGACTTGATACAGTTTAGGCAGACGAAGAATACTGCTTTCTGAGCCTCTGGAATTCTATCTCTTTTTGTAAATACTCTTTAACAAATGGATGCTCTAAGTGTGAATCCTTCAGCTGACTCAAATAACGATTAGCAACTTCAGGTGGTTTTCCCATATGTTGAGAGAGAACAATCATATTGATTAATGTATCTGGATTGTTACTATCCTTATCCAAGGATTCTTGCAAAGCTGTTTCAGCCTCTTCATACTTAGCTTGCCCAATAAAGCAAGTAGCTTGTCCATTTAACAACATACTGGTACTGGAATGTTTATCTATCATATCCTAAAATTATGACACAATAAAGAAATCACTTCAAACTATACATATTATATGATATCAATATATTATGTACCTGGAATATATAATAAGCATCTTGCAATTTATCACCACCACTGCTAATATTTAACCATGCTTGTGCCAACTGAGTTAAAGTGGCATCATCATCTTTTTCTTGCATAGTTACTAATTCTTTCTTCGCCAGATCCAATCGATCCATCTTCAAATAAATCTGCAATGTTAAGGCTAAGCATTCTAAGTGATCAACATTGCGGAGTATCCTTAGAGCTGCTTCCAAGTTCTTTTCATGATAGTAAATGGTTGCAGCAACAATCAAAAAGTTGTGATTATCATAATTAGCACGATTCGTCGCTTGTTGCAATTCTGCGACTATTGCCTCTCTACGTCCGGGATTTGCAAAATAATCAGCTAACATTTTCAATGGTTGTAAATCAGGTGGTGACGAATTATTAATTTCATCTAGTACAACGCGGAATTTTCGTTGCGCTATGTACGCACGATAGAGAAATACGTCACGTTCCATTGCCACCTCCGGCGAAGATGACTACGACAATAAAAAAAAATGACATTAACATTCTGTCTTATGTATTTAAAATCACTTCTAACACACATGGATAGAAATTAAATTAACATCATCTACGAAAAGCTAGAGTAACAATTCATTCTAATGAGGGATAAAAAAATTGTTTTACTAAAATAGAAAAATGGGAACAACGTTCCTAAAAAACATGCCAAGAACAAACAAACCTTGATTTTTTGTGCTTCGTTGATACATTGTTGATAATTGCCAATATAAAAGTGATTTTTCACGTCGAACAATTCGTCCACGTCTGCTTGCTGCTGACGTGCCATCTTGTCATTTCGATAGTAGTGTTCCATTCGGCTACGTGTTCCGGTTTTCGAAAATCGTAGACTGCAGTACCGACTATACGGTTCCCATGAGAATAATTCGATTTTATATGTTTTTGTGTTTAATTATTTCTTGAAATTTTAAGCTTTCTTTCAAGTTATTCAACTTGATTCAAGTACGCGCTTCTTAACTCTAAATAAAATTTCATCTCTCAAAAACATAATTTCTCATGTCATACATTCTATGTTTATTGTGTATTTCTACGCATTTTGACAAATACTGAAGAGTTCAAATTTGTAAAAAATTGTAAACGAATATATGTAAAAATATGTTTTCATCATTACATTCTACATGATATAATACAAGATAAAGTACAAATTATTCCAAAAAGTGACAGCACAATTTCTTTCGTCATAAGTTTAATCGTCATTGGGTTAATAAATCAGACATTTATAACAAAATTATCACAGTATTATGCACGTATGCGCATCAAGTTTTTTATTCTATTAATCATAGATTTTTCATCAATCGTTAAAGTGGACTAATTTTTCACATTTTTAAGTCCTTTTTTAATTTTTAGGTTAAGTATTGTGATAGTTTGCCATATAAGCATTATGAGGAAGTAAAACATTTAATTGAAACCACAGCATTATTTATGTAAATTTCATATGGCATTATATACATCATTTCGTTTCTAATAAGAATTATAATTAACTTTATTTGAAACTTTTACCTGTCAAGCACCTGAAGGCCATAGGGTGTTATCAATGTACTATATAATAAAGTGCCTTTCTTATTAATCACTGTATAGAACAGTTTATTTAAACAAAAATTAACAATGGACATCAGTGCATTATTTAAAGCAAGTGTGAAGACAGTTGGTCTTCGTAACAAGGATTTGAGAGGTGTGAGCACTACTCGTACTTTGAAAAAGGCAAAAAGTAAAAGTGCCTTTTTCATAAAAGCACAAGGTGTTGTAGCACAAATTTCGAAATTACGTGAATTCTTGTTGGAAAACCGTAAAGCATACCTGAACTTTTCAAATTATTTGTCAAATGTACCAAGTATGACAGATGCAGACCGTGATGAAATTGACATTGGTGCACAAAAAATAATGAGTACTTGCTCCCAATTAATTAAGGACTTAAAAAGGGAAATAGCAGGTTCTGAAGTCTCTTCACAGAATTTAGAGCATAGAGAAATTATGTTATTATTAATTGAAGATTATTTGAAGAATGTTTGCAAAATCTATTCAGAGCAAAAAGCAATGCGAGTAAAAAGAGCAGTGGAAATAAGGAAAATTGCCAAACTAGAATTAGACACAAAACCTATGAAACAATTTGAAGGTGAAACAAAAAGGTCTAATTTAAATACAATGGAAAAGGTAGAAGATAAATTTGACTCTAATGAATCTAGTCCTATGAAAATACAGGAGATAAATGGAGATATTAATGCATTAATGTATGAAGAAGAAATATCACCAGAAGATATACAATTGTTTGAAGCAGAAAACGAACAGTTGTATAATGAACTTAATACACTGACAGAAGAGGTGAAACAAATTGAAAGCAAGGTTGTACATATAGCTGAACTTCAAGAGATATTTACAGATAAAGTATTAGATCAAGATAAGGACTTGGACCGTTTAATGACAACAGTTGTTGGATCCACCGAGAATGTGAAAGAAGCTAATGAACAGATTAGACAAGCAATTCAAAGGAATGCTGGGCTCAGAGTGTGGATTCTCTTTTTTCTATTAGTTATGTCGTTTTCTTTGTTGTTCCTTGATTGGTACAATCCTTAAAATAAAAAATGATTTTATTAAACGTTTGTACATTCATTCAAAGAATGCTGTACTATATGTGGAATATTAATATATAACTGCTTGTACGCTGCTAGTTTTTAAACAATGAACAAATGTTTTGCCAAAATATGTCATTGTATTTTATCCCCAAAACATTTTACATAATAGCTACATCTTACATAATAAAATTTGTAATATATGTATATATTTACTTATATATACACACTCGCACATGTGCACTTGCCACATACATTTTCTTATTTCGTTTCATCAATATTTTTGGTTTAACAGAAAGTTTATTCTGTAAGTTGAATTAATGAAAGTATCGCAAACGCTCTTTTAAGATACATCTTTCGTATCTTTCATCATTAAAAATCATTAATGCTATCTTAACTTGAAGTATTTATAGGCAACTCGCTTGATATTTGTTGTCTTTTTTCTGAACATATATCCCCTATGTTGTATAGGTGACAAAGCTTTTCATAAGTTTTCTTATTCAATGGGATATATATCCAGTACATAAAAAGTTTAATGTAAATAGATTTGTATGATCTTTCACTATAATTTTAAGTAAAAAAATATTTACAGGATATACCACCCATTATCAGCTTTGATTTATAGAGTTTTTTAATATTTTGCTATGTATGTCAATGGTATAAACTAAAGATATCAAATATTTCCAAATTAAAGCCAACAAAGCTCAAGTTAGGATAATGTCTTCATTAAAAAAGAAAATAGTGTTTCATAGTAACTGTCTGTTTCTTGATAGCATAAAATCCGAAATGTATGTATTTTTCGTGTGTAGCTCCTTTTAGAAACAGACAACGATTATCAATAGTTTTAAGCAGAAGTTGGTTCTTAAAATTAATCATAATTTTCGTACAATTAAATGCGTTATTTGATTATCATGAATATGCTAACATGGAAAAAACAATGCACTGAATTATTTACACCATCAATGTAAATATGAATTATCATTAGATCTCTAAGTATATTATATGGTTCGTATTCCTTTTTTTAACTTTTCTTTGCAAAACTATATTTAAAACAACTTGTGACGAAATTGTACGTTACTATTTTTTGGTTTACATTAAACTTATTGACGATAATGTAAATGGAACAAGTAATAATGTTAAATTGCGCAAGTTATGACCAAAAATCATGTAACTTTTTTAAAATTACAATTTGTTTTTGTATTTTTTCTCTTTTTTTTATAAAAGTGATTTCTGATTTAGAATTTGATTTATACAAAATGTTACAAAATTTTAACGCTACGTTTTTGTTTTATCTTTACGATAAGCAATTGTGTGTAACAAGCATATGTAAGTTCTGTATAATGAGTAATCACAAAAAAAAAGAAATCTTTACACCAGATATATCCATACAGTACACAGAGATGTTCTTTTTCAATTAAAATATGTTTCGATATTTTCGATCGTAATCTAACTTTACATATACATTTTTCGTCTAGAGAATCATATATTTAATTATCGCAGTTTAATTTTTTTTTATCAGACACTTATGAAAACAGATTTTTTTAACATTATGACGAAATGTATCTCAAATATTTTCTAAAGTACTGGTACTTTTACACTGATAAGTGCATAAAGAAATAGATATACCTCAAAGTGTCTGATAACGATATAGAAATAACAGTTCAGTTTAATCAAATATATTCAGAATAATACAATGAAAATAAAGATTTTTATAAACTACAAAAACAGAATCTCACCTGTTTTTGAAATTAAGGATACCGCTTTTCTTGATTGTTAAATGTATCTAGTTTTTCTTATAATTATATTTATAACGAGAATGATCATCGTATGGACATAATTTTCCTTCTATTAAACTTTGAACGATCCATGTTGTGGAGAGCAATGGAATTTGTAGCTCAGTAGCTTTTTCGACCGCCCAAGATGGGCATAAACTGTTCGTGAGAACTACTGTTCCTTCCACGAAACTTTCCATTGTATCTGAAAACAATAATATAATTATTTTTGAATAATATTACACTTCCAATAACAAAAATTTTTTATTGCAAAAAATCTCGTACCTGGCTTATCTGCTAATAAGACAACAGCACCTGCATTTTCACAAATTTGGCGCCAAAACGGGGCAAACTGTTTCTCAGACTCTACAAATGGAATTATTACAACCACTTGGGTCAATGGTTTGTTGCTAGGTCTTTGGAACATGTCAATATACGAATTTTTATTCAAACTCCATCCCACAGGTAATTCATTCTCAGCTGGATTTACAATTTTTCCCTAAAAGAAATAAAAATTAAAATTAGATAAACTCATAGATTTTCATATGTATATTTATAATCTATGCAGTTACAATACTTACCTCTTGGCAACATCTTATTATCCAATTATGATTATACGCGGGTATGCCGACTGAGAGGCACAGCAGAGTCTTTGCAGTTGTGTTTGGCACATTCGTTATTAATTTTGTATATTTGTACTCATCTTGGGGTATTTCATTGAAGTCCGTATATACTTTTCCGCCACCCGCTACTATTTGTGTATTTAATCTATCCCTTACAAAAGGCTTTTTCACCCATTCTTCTTCAGTTTCTGTTCCCGTTTCTGAACCATAATCCTTGCACTCAGACTGAAACCGATCTATAGTTTCTAAAGGTGCACATGTGAGAATAAAAGACATGCCTTTAAAGAGATTTGAGTCTGTACGTGGAATTGGACCAAACACGGCGATAGTTTCCTCATCATCCGCTTTTTTTTTACTTCTTGACTTGCTTTTGATTCGATTTTGTGGTCCTTTCACAATTTGCTCATATGGAGTACCAATTATCTCAGGCTGTACACCAATGGAGTACACTTCGTCTTTCACGGAAATATTGGAATCGCTAGAGACGCCATCACTCTCAGAGGATAATTTCTTGTCTTTTTTAACTGTAGAAGCAATACCAGAAACAGATGGTTCCAGCTCAGATTTACTAGGAGATTGAATCAATTTAAGCTTAGGCGTGGAGAAACTAGGAGTGGCGATTCGTTTAGAGCGTCTTTTACCATCAACCATATTATCTAAGGTTATTTGACCTAAATTTTTAGGCGTAGACGGTAGACTCTTGTTTTCCGAATTAATTTCCTCTTTTAATACCTGAGCTTGATCCGCGGACAAAGACATATCCTTAATTTGCACTCGTAATTTCTCTCCCTCGTCTGTTTCTACTGTATAGTACACATCGTTATTTACAGTTTGACTGTCAACGATTATACCACACGATCCATAATCGTAATTCTTAGTAGTAGCATATATAGACAAACCTTCCTTCAAAACTTTCGGTATTGGTATAACGAAGTCAGCTATAAGTACTTTATTCTTTCCGTCATAGAAATTAACCTTATATTTGGCCTTTATTTTATCGATTACTGTACCAGGGTAGTAATTATTGTCAGACCATTTAGCAAAAACATCTTTACCGATCAAATCGTCTGTTATCATTTGCGATAGCGGTTTTGTCGAGACGTCTATGTTAGTTGATGTATTATCCGCATGTTCTGTTTTGTTCTTCTTTCTACTCGGTGTATTATTGCTCTCTGTAGGACTTAGTGCCTTTGTGGAGACCTTATTTAATCCATTTGACTGACCATCTGATTTCGTACTTTTACTTCTTGACCTTTTTACCGACTTATTCTTTTTTGTGCTTTTAGGAGTTTGTACCTGTATTAGGTCTTGTGGAACCTCTGGAGTAGAAGAACGAATCTTTTGTAATTGGTCGTCTATCCTCTCGTTACTGACATTGTACGTATCAATTCCAGTGAGTTCTGTGTTCGCAAAATTTAGAATAGTTGTTGTGAGAAGATTACTATTCTGCCATTCTTTAGTGAAACGTTCGTATGCTTCATCCGCCGCTTGTTTATCATTCAATAAATGTATATCTTGGGCATGCCGTTTTGCGTGTTTTGCAGGCGCTCTCGGCAATGAAAAATGCATATTATCTCTGATTGCAAATTTCGCTGCCAGCGAAGCAGCGCTAGATATGGAACTTAAAGAACTCACCGTAGAAGCGAACGAAAGTCTGGAAGGATTCAATTGATACAACTGCGGATTACTGTTCACAGATCCCGGAGATGTATCCTTATTGTCATTTCCAGAAATGTCTGCTAACGAAGCAGACGTATCATTGTTTTTTTGTCTCATTGAAATAGGCTCTGTAGTGATGGCTTCGCACTGTACGCCAGTGATTTCTTTACTTACAAATTCTTTTGTACCTTCATCGACGTGTAATAAACATTTCATTCTAACATATATACCGATTTCTTTTTCCACTTGCAAGGCTTTTGTGATAGAGCTACTGTGAGTTAAATTTGACTTACTTTTATCATCTACTATAAAAACATCAGGTTCATTCTCACTTACACTTAATAAATCAGCGTGATCGCTATCCTTAGATACAGAGATTGGTTTGATCTGCTTGTTTATATTATGTACAGATGTAGAAATATTGTTGTCAGCTTTGTCAAGACCAACTGGTATATCGCTAAATGTGTCGGATTGTAAACTAGCTGTACTGTCAGTATCACACCTTTTGGATTCGCTACTTCCATTTACCAGTTTACTACCAGATTTAGCTGAATCAAGAGATGATTCTTTGGTATTCTCTATTGATTTGTAACTAAAATCACTACTACTTTTACTGTCGTAACAGCTTTTATATATTGTTTCAGACTTTGAATTATCTAAGATAGTCTTATTTTCTGCTTTTGTATCAGAATCTTCTTGAGAGGAATCTAGAACAATCTTTTCTCCATCTTCATCAATTTCTACTAGTTCTTTGGATTTTGGTTTGACATCATGAATTGTAGTTCGATCGTATATAAGTTCTACACTCTGTCTTGGTTTACACATATTTCCGGAGTACATATTAGAATGAGATTCATTTATTTCCTTTGAAACTGGTATTTCCTGAATATCACTACTTTTTTCTAAATTAGCATGCCTTTTAGATTCAACACCATTTTCCTTGTCTTCTACTTCTTCACTGTTCGTTATTTTTATATCTGTACTTTTATTATTTGAATCCGATTTTATTTTTTCACCTGTTACTACTATAAGTGAAGATGTAGAATCTTTCTCTTTTATTTGAATCGGTGATTTCCTACTATCATTAGATTGCGTAATACTTTTTGCATCAAATACCTCTTCATTATGTTCTTTGTTCAAAAGAGCTTCATTTAATTTTGATGTATCATTAAAATTTTCATTCTTATCTATTTCATAATCTTTCATTCCCAATTCAGGATGCCTTTCATCCTTGGTTTTTTCCTCATATTTTGTCGGTTTTTCTAAGATAGTTTCTATATCATCCTCTCCAACGTCCTGAGTTTCTGGGATTATAACAATTGTATCAGTGCAATTTTTGGAAAGTTCATGATGAGAACCATCAGATTTAAATGAATGACAACTTTCATCTTCTTCTAGTTCTCTTTTCTCAGGTAAGAATAGATCTCCCTTAGATGTTTTCAAAATTTTTTTAGGTGGTTCATCAAATGATCCTGCTTTACGTTTTAGACTTGTCACTGCACTGTCACCAGCTTGTCTTTTAGATGGTGAATGAACCTCAGGTGGTGTGCATTGTATAATTTCCTCATCTTCATCAGAATGTTTACTTTTATTTTCTACTGTGTTACTTTCATTAACTATATTTCCCCCTTCTGTTTTCTTTGGCGATTCTTTCTTCTGTGCATCCTCCTCTTTCATAAGCTCACAATTCTGTGCATCAGAAGCTGCTTTAGATATTGTTAGATTTATTTCATTCAAAGTTACCTCAGTATTATCACCAGAAACAGAAGAAACAACTTCTTCTTGCTTTGTATCTTCTAAATCTTCTTGAGATTTACTTGAAGATTCTTCTTCCTCTATATCTACCAGATGAAAATCTTGACTCTCGGTCAAGTTGAATCCCCTATTATCCAAAATTTTACTTTCCTCTAGACTCTCAGAGCAAGCACCTTGACTCTCCATCGTAAAATTTTCCTTCTTCTCTGCTTCTGACATCTTTCTATGCTCTTTTTATTAGCCTACTGAAAATTAAAAAATATATCAATAACAATTGTCAAGATGAAATATTCTCATATCACAGTTAAAATTACGTTCTTTAGCTCAAATAGAATTCTATGAATGAAATATAAGAATTACAATAAAATGTATGAAAAGATTTTACCAAAATTCAAGGACACCCTGTATATCGATACGGTGTTTACAACGAGCATGGAAGGTTACGGCGGGAACGTCATGTGATCACGAGAATTTATCGAAAATCTCAATTTACAAAAAGTGAAACGTACCACAATAGATCACATACAGTGAGGAGTGCTTTACCGATGAGATTATTTCGACCTCTTTGTCAAAATATTACATTTGCTGCCGGAGATAAATATGTTCGCCGGCGGACGAAAGCGGGAGCTCATGTATTTTCTTGTACCCACTACCTTTACACTTTTCCCTCCACGTTTTGTATCTCGTATTCGTTTTGTTGGTTCGCCTTTTTTTATCAGCAATCTCGAATATTACATTAATAAACCGGTCTTCCATAGAAAACACTGCAGAAACTCCACTTTTTATTCACAAAGGAATACAGTCCATAAAACGCCATCGCCACTTTTAGTAATCATAGATTATGTAATTGTAGATTTGCAGGCTTTCGCGGCTAGTTAACATACCGCGTTTATGAACTGACCAATGGCATCGTTTCTTACGAACATCAGAATCTACGACATAATAGAGCCGTTACTTGCGAACGATCTTCTGTTTAACCAATCAAAACGTGCGACACAGGTCACGTGAGATCAGTATCAGAACTTCAATTACTTGTTTGACAAAAAGTATCCGAGTATTTAAATATTCTTATATTTAAAATTGTAACGGGACAAACATTTCGCAAAAAATATTTTAATACAAAATTTTTTTGGCGAATAATGTTGGACAATAATAAAAATATTATTTTTGAAATAAATAAATTGAACTTGGAATTAAGAAAGAAGTTAGAAATGGTTTCAAAATGGAGGGGTATGTGGTTTATATTAATCTATTTTACTTCATGATGAAAAAAGGGGCGTATTTAATATTCTATTTGATTTTAGCTGAATGCGCTCAATTGCAACTAGAATTTTTAAAATTATATACTCCAGAATGTCTCGAAATTTTCGAATCGATTACACAATCACTGGATGCCAATATCGATTCAAATTATAAATTACCATCTTAATGACTATATAGCAACATGTGCGAAATTCTTGGTTATTTTATTAATATCACATCGATTTACTATCGCATCAAATTTTAATGAACGAAATAAAATACAATTATGTTGAAATATATTTATTACATTCGAATGTACGACTGACACATACAGTATTCATGGTTTCGATAACACAAAGACACAATAGATACACGCTTTTTATAATCTGATGAAATAGAAATTTATACCATAATAGAATCATCACGTCTCTTTCAAACTTCACCAGAAAACCTTTAATATCCATATACTTCGATATACGTTGCACTTTGTTACTTAATAATACGGCAATACGATTAAAGAACAATTAAATAAATTATGCAGCACCATGTGGAAGTATTTAATCGGGTGTAGCTGAACGGAACAGTGTGTGATGAAAATGAAATTTTTATTCCGCGAGTACGAGTACATACCGCTGAAAGTCATCTATTATGAGAGAATCGAACGTAATCATGTATTATACTTTTTGGTGTTCAACGACTACTTTAATGCATTTTATTATATAATCGATTCTTTGCGAGGCGCCCAATTCGATTATATTTGTTTGTATATCGATAAATTCAAAGGATGGCTTCATGATCGATTATTGCGATTTTATTCAAAGATTTCTATCCTGTACGGGAAAAAATTTCCAAATTTATTCATCGCTAAAAAAAATAACAAAACTTTAGTCGACTATTATTGTCCCCTATCGTTCATCGTCGCATTTATAATTCAGAACAGAAAAACACCTCACAAATGGAAAACATTTTTCTTGCCCAAGATATATTTTCTGTTTTATCAAATAATATTATCTGCGCGGAATAGAATCATCCTTTATTGTATTCAATTATATACGCAAAAACTTGAAGCCACTGGAACTTCGCCTGCTGTCATCCTAGTGTTCTCCAATCGATTTTAAACGTTATACAACCCCGTTTAATCCATTTAACTTAAAAACAAAATTAGATCTTCAACGTAGATTGCAACTACTTCTTTCCTCCTTGATAAAATGTTACGTCAACTTAACCTAACCTCAAACCTTAGACCTCATTCAATGCTCAAAGTAAACGAAACACTGAAAGTTGACTATTGAAAATAAAGCTCGATTCGAGGTCGCATGTTTGTTGAAGAGCTACACGTTTCTTGACAGAGAGAGGATCCTCGATGTGTCGTTAACGTCACATCACCGATTTTACTCTTTATCGATCTGATTGTTGGGTGTTCATCATGTCATAACCGCTGTTCAAGCGTCGTCCACCATAAGGGTAGCGAAGATACCGATGCAAATAGCGATAATGGTAACGCCGTAAGCAAGACTCGTTTCCATCGAGGCGACACTGAACGGAGACCGCTGCTGGAGGCTGTAATTGAGACAATATTAAAGCTGTACTGGCGCACGACTCTCTACCCTTTTGTCCTTCTCTTAGTTCTTGAGCGTCGCAAATTTTTCCCGCTTCCATCGCGTAATTGCCCAAACATTCTTCTTCTAGATCATCTTGTACCTGAAAGTTGTTTTGAATTATATGAATAATTAGTTGAAGAGCATTGATTAAAGAGAATGATTAAATTTATTTAGTAGATAATTTTTAAGGGAACGAAACTTGTTGTATGTTAAAATTTGGACAAATGAGAGATGCTTACACAGGCCTTGCAGATTTGAAGCATCACACAGGGCAAGTAGAGCTTCTGTGACTCATCTCCAGCCAAACTATCGGCTGTTCTGCACCTCTTTTCAATGGCTTCCAACTCTGGACAGGCTCTATTGTCTTCCACACCTTTTAACAATATTTTAACCTCAATATTTGATCAATTCGATAATTTATCAATTCGATAATTTATCAATTTGATAACTGATCAATTTAATACCATCAGTTTCAATTAAATTGTTGGTGCGTTTATCCTTGGATCTAGGAGTATTACTATTTTCTCTGAAGTTCGAAGTTTGGTTACTTTGTGCATGTGCAGTTTTTTGAGCCTTTATTCGTGCTGCAACGTTAGTCTTGAGGTCGTACAGAGCCTTTATCATCTTCTCCAAAGAGTACGCAGCAGCCATGCGTGTCATCACCTTATCCTTCTCCTATTATTCAATTTAAACATCAGGGGTGTAATTCCGAAAAGCCCCGGTCGCTGATCGACACGAAATTTGCGGAGGAGGGATAGAAGGGTGGGTGGACCATAAGTTTAAAATATTAGCTTCAGCCAATCATGAATTTCCGAGATATTAACAAAAAACTTTCAGTATTACACATTGAAACTGCGTATACAGACGTGACTAACATTGAATGCTGCATATATAGATGTTACTAACAACTGTCTTCGCTGTAGTGGTCGTTGCCGTTCAGTGTCGAGTATCCGATGACACAATAGCGGTCGAGTTCTTAGTATCTATAGGGTGTCCCACGTAAAATTTTGGTAAGGCAATGACTGTTCTGATATTGTTGACCGCCTAGATATTCGGCGGTATTAGACGCTGTGTTCCAGCTCGATTGATCGACAAGATGATTACATACATGATTAGGTTAGGTTATATTAAAATCCACGCTTTCAGTGGCTGCTACAGCGAAAACGGTTGTTTAGTAACACCTGGATAGGCAGCACTCAATGAATTAGTAACGTCTGTATACGCAGTTACAATGTATAAGTACTGAAATTTTTTCATTGATACCCCGGAAACTAATGATTGGCTGAAGCTAATATTTTATATTTGGTGTCTACTCTCCCCCACCCCTCCTAATTTCGTTCGACAGTCACTGGGGTCTTTTAGAACTTTATCCAACATCGGTAATAATAATAATTATGTATATTAATCAATTTTCATATATATAAATCACACTTTTTGCAAGTCTATGCTGTCTTCGGAGTCTGCGTTTCTCAGAGCTTCCTCAATGATCAAATCCTTAATGATTTTCTGCTTGATATCCTGCTGATCCAGTTTATCTTTCCTTTCAATGGCTTCCTTCTCATAGCCACGATCGTTTGCCTTCAGATTCTCTGCCATGTTCTGAAAAAAATTATAATTTAATAATTTATA